CAGAGAGCCGTGACAGGATCGAGAAGTGAGCGAACGCCGGTATGTGTTCGCTCACCTCCCGATCTACTGAGCCGACCTGTGACAGTCTCATTGTCACAGGTCGGCTAGAACTATGAGGTGAGTGAAAAGCCCCTCCCCCTCATAGTTCTCCTTTAAATAACTTATTTTAAATTTTTCCAAACGTTTCAGAGGTGGGTTTCGATATGCGGCACGGCTTGGACTGGCTTTGAACTCTGAGCGTCAGTGGAAGTTGCTCTTAAAATGTCACATCAATAATTATGCAGCTTATTAGACCCCATTCACACGTAGCGACATACCTTTTGCAGCGGATCCGTAAGGCCGGGATAGCACGACTTTCGGGGCGACGATCCAGCGACGGTAGCGCGACCTTCTCCGTCGGGCTCCATAGAAAAAAGGCAAAATCGCGCAAAATCCGCCAAAAAAAGGGTCCGGTAGAAGCGACCGCGACGAGCGAAATGGAGTTAAGACAGCTCCATTGAATAGCATTGGCCGGCGACTTCTCGCGATATCGCGTGGCAAAAATGCGCGATATCGCGGCGGAAATCGCGCGATAATTCGCTACATGTGAACGGGGCCTTAGTGTGACAACCTTACCAGAGATCGTCCAGGAGGTGGCGCCGTGCAGTCACTTGTTGACTTGTTACTTGTATCAAATGTTTGAACAACACAAAACCTCCGAAGATTTTGATTTGGGCGCACGCTACCCTGAGGAGGATGAAAACCGTCCACACACCTCACAACTGGGGATTATTCAGCAGAATTGCTGATTTCTTTTCCTGACATGGAAACTATCAATTTCATAGAATTCCAAGAAAATACGTTGTATTGAACATATTTGGTCAATGGCGTCAGCCGGGATCCCTGCCGCTGTCTTTACATTTCCGCACGCTGGTAATCTCTCATTCAGTCATGGGTTAACATCGGCACATTGTTCACATGACATGGTTGGGAAATCTATAAAAGATTGCAGTGGAGTGGTGCAATGGGATTGTAGTGTGTGTGTCCGGCTCATGACTGATGACATTGTATGAGTTACAATGTAGCAGTGATTTGCTAGAGGTGCACCGAAATGGAAATGTCAAAACTGAAAAGAAACCAGAATTGTAAAAAATGTCAGGCCGAAACCAAAAATGTTTTCTTTTGATTTTAATTTTTTCACATTTTTATATTTTGTTTTTATTTTATTTTTTATAAACTTTTTTTTTTTTATTGATTTATTTATTTTTTATTATTTTTTTATTTTATTTTTTACTTTACTTTTAGGGGCTTCGGGGGAAATATTCAGGCCGAAACCAAAAATT